TGGGAAAAAGTTAGCGACGGGCAATACTTTGAATGATTTATTTGTAATCATTTTTTCACAATAAAGTTGCATTTTCATAAAAAAAAACAGCGAGAACTTAGTTGCGCACCTAATATGTTTTTTCATTATTACAACTAGTTTCAACAATCAACTTTTTTCAGAAATATACTTTGATCAATTTTATTCGAGCAAACCTGCATATTTGGATACCTATGTGAAGAAGAATTATAAAAACCGTAATTACATGTTAATACTTTTAATATTTTTAAATGGAGATCCTACTGAAAAAAGTGTCTTGAGAACTCAACTGAGAACTCAAATGATATTTTAGTAAGATATTTGAATTGAAATCTCAAGACACTTTTTTCAGTAGAGATATTCTTCCATGTGTTAAATTTACATATTCTATTCTTAAAAATATTAGCATTCTCCACCTATTAATTTGACTTGTTGATGTCGCAGTGAAAATTTCTGCAAAGTTGTTACAAGATAGTGGCAATGTTGAAATGTCTGTCCTCGTAAACATTGTAATGTTTAATTGAAATTTTTAAAAACTATTATTTCGTTGAAGAAAGCTATGTTACTGGATGAAAAAACATTAATATTTACAATATTTAAAAAAAATTTTTTGGGATTAAATGAAAATTAGATTTATTTCATTTAAATTTCTTATAATTTGTTTTAAACTATGTATATACATTTTTTTTTGTTTAGACTAACCATTATAATACTTCGTTGAAAAAATAATAGTAAATTAATGCTTAATGATTGCTTTCTAAAAGTAATATACATGGAGTTTCTGGTTCAATAGTATATATTAATATTCGTTGTTGCGTTGCTTCAATATTTATTTATCAATAAGTTATAATATACTATGAACATTATAAGGATATATTGAGTAAATATAAGTTGTAACAATATCTTTAGAGGAAAGTTGCGGATCGGTTGATCGTTAAAGTCAGGCAACGTTTATTGTGGTTAAAACATGGATAGGTAATAGACTCCCGCACCGCTTACAAACGAAACATATAAAAGAGAAGAATACTCGAACGTTTGGAGTGTTTGTGACAAAATGTGTGGCTCCCAGCGCTCGTAAGATATGAGAAAATGAGGAATATATAAATTTCGTTTTACATTTACATTTAACATTCCACTATAACGTTGTTATAATGTTACATTGCAATGTTTTTGATAGCAAATATTTCAACATAGTCACAATCTTGCAACAACGTAGCAATAAGTCAATTCAATAAGTGATGAATTTTATTATTTTTACGAATGGAATTTATAAATTTAATGTATAGAAGACACACATATCTCTCTATTGAAAAAAAGTATTTTTATAGCTTAAGTGAGAAATCTTGCGGAAATCTCAATTAAGTTCTTAAATAAGATCTCAATTGAGATCTCAAAACTCTTTTTTTCAGTGGGAGAAATAACAGATCTGCATAGAAAACATGCGTAAAAGAGCACCATTATATTCATTTGAACGTTCCATGCCAAGAATCAAAAGAATACTGTCTTGCACTGTCTTGCACTGTTGAGGAAAAATCGATTCCACTTTTGCAATATATAACGACTTATTATTACGTTATTCTTAAAACGAGGTTCTTGAAAGACCAAAGGTTGTTATATGCATGTGTTCGCACGATTGCAAATGTTGCAACAAGCAGAATAGGGATGACGAACGCAGAGTTTAATATTATCATTTTGTCGATATCTTTGGTAACGAAACGGGTGAGTGAATAAATTATTATCGTGAGGACGCACACAACATGTACCGTTTATTGTCATAATAACCCATCGCTTTTTTTATCTCGTGTCTTTCCCTCTTTATTACCGCACATATGTAATTACAGCGTCGTGAGCATGCTAAACATGCACGCAAAGAATTTTTCATGTGTCTGTGGGAGACGAGTTAAGAGCTGCTGAAAACTTCATTCGAGTTATGGAAAAGATATATGTTGTCCATAGCTTTTACCTGGCTGAAAAGTTTGATCACTGGAAAAAGGAGTTACCATAGGGTGAACACTTTGATGCTGCATTATTGATGAGCCTTTAGTCCTACAGTCGAATACAGGTTTTAAATGATAGCAACCTTTGACTTTGAGAGACTGACAGCTGTACTATTTGATATAGTACATTGTTTCTCTCTGTAGTCGCCGGGCGTCTTGGGATCGCGCCAGAGATGTCGCTTCCGAACGGCATCTCTGAGCGTAATAAGGGAGGGGAGAGTGTCGCGAGTGTGAAGCGTCAAGTAGCTCAGTGGTTTAGAGCAGTCGCTCGGCAAGCGAAAGACACGGGTTCGAGTCCCGGCCTATAGCAAAACCGCGCTCTTAATATTTTTCTCTCTTTGGAACGAAAAGATACGCAGATCTCGAACGCACGGCGTCCCGCCGCTACCTAGTATGCCCTCCTTCTTCTTTGGAAGAAAGAGGAGGGCGTATGAAATAAGAAATGAAGGACAGTGCTAGTGGCTATTTAGAGCTAATCTGTTTTTGACAGTGTAAGATCGATGTGCTTTAACTAAACGGAAAGTATGCAAGTGAGATGTTATAGCGACATATTTTCCATCATAATACATGGTATTATAATGATTTCTTCTGTTAGCTTACGAGGTAAAGTTTGAAAATTAAATGAAAATGGAATTATGAGATGTTGACTAGTTTTTACGTTTATATTTTCATTGCGTGCTATATATATTTTTATTTTGCGCACATATACATATTAGGTGTACAAATAAATAAAACCAAATTTTGCAACTAAACTTAAGGGTCATTGAAAATGTATAACGCTTTTTTCAATCAGAGTATTCGCTGTTTCTATCTATAACTTAAACCATACTCGTAGTAAGAATTATAAAGTGTACATTTTTTAATATTGATATAATATATGATTTTTCCTCGTTTTTTAATAATATTTTCCAAATAGTTAAAATACAATTACTTAAAATAACGTTACTTTCCAAATTTTTCTGAAATATTATACAAATATCAGTCATATAATATGAATCATAATATTTTGTTAATGTTATCATAACACGTATATTAAAGGGAAATATAATATTAGCGAATACTTTGTACATGTACAGAAATTAATCAATTGTATGCTTAACTTAACTTTAGGTTACTACGATCCGTCTTTTTAATAGGTATGTTTTAATAACTATTCCTTCCACTCCGTTATTAGAATTACTCTAGCTATGCAGGCTCTTACAAATGTTTTTCCTTAATCTAATAGCTATCTATTTTAATCGGTTTATACTTATCGGTTCATTCGAATTTTGGGCAAAGGTTGCTCGTTTGACAAAAAATGCCTCATATACTTTTCTTCGATTAATTATTTAAATTTTATATATTAATTTTATATATTAATTTATTGTTTATTTATTTCAAATTTTACTGTCCTTCCATCAATTACACGTTATATGAGTAGATAACTTTATTTATCGATGTACGACATGTGAATCTGTTCCAAGATCACTTTTGCTTTAAACACGTTCTCGCTTCTTCGATTGATCAACAGACATGGGAAACATGTAGCTAAAGATGAGTGCAGCCGGCCGAAGGTTTCTTAGTTACTATCGATATGTAAATGATATAGCATTCGTGAGACTGAATGTACACTAGTCAATTTGTTTTTGCATATCATTTCCGAGAAAAACGTTCCATCACGTTCTTTATTTTATAAGTTACGAGTTGTAAAATAATTTTCAGAATATCGAAATGTTCATAGACCATGTTGCAGTCATCTTTCATTCAACGTATTCAAAAGTGTATCAAAGTTGATGGTCATTTTTTAAGCATTTAGTAAAATAAATAAAAAATTAAAATTTAAAAAATAAAATTGAATATTATCTTCATTTTTAATGATTTAAACTGTTAAGAATTTGTTATTAAGTTGCGAGAGGTTTTCATGTTTATATAATCGCGCATCCGATGAGTCACGTCTATGTATGGCGGCGCTAGCGAGAGCTCGCATATACTTTTGTTTATCGTAACTATAGACATAATGGCCCGTATTCTGAGTTTTCTTTCAACGATAAATGAGCCTCTAAAAGAGACTTAGGAGCCACCTAATTGGCTGAGAAGCTACATTTAAGACACTTTTATCGATAAAAAAGGATTTAGAATATAGGCCAATGTAGACCTAGCGTTTGCCTTTATTTGAAGAGTGGGATAAGGGACACATAGAAAAAGATGCATTATGTTTTGGAACCCTGCTTTCTCTCTCATTCGCGCATATGTATGAGCGTATGTGTGAGAGAGGTATAATTAAAATTGACGTGCACAATGGTGAAGTGCCACATTTGTTGGAAAATACATTTGGTTAATTAATCGATTAATTAATTAAGACATGTAATTTTCAGTTGCAGATTCTCGTTCTTTCATTCTTCTTTACTACTTCTTTTCTCTCACATATACACTCACATATACACTTTCGTACACATGCGCAAATGAGACAGAACGCAAGATCTCAAAACACAGAGTATCTTTTTCTACGTGAAGCTCTACCTCCTATTCCTCAATGCTCGGTCTACATATATTACGTCTATGATCGTGACAACGCACTGCAGAATGTAATTTGAAATAATTTTGAGCGCTATTTTGCGCCTGTTGGAGAGGGTTTAGCGAAAAGTTACCAAGAACAAAATTTCCTTACCCTTTTCATAGAATTCGAATCTGTAATAAAAAATAGGTGTTTTCGATGGAAAAATCAACCGCGGCATTATTAAGCTCAAAGAAGACCTCGGACTCAAAATCTAATTTAGTTCATCTAATAATCCCTTCCAAACCTTATAACTTTTATTTGAAACATTTTTTTGAAAATGCATTATTTTCGAGATATTTCGATGTGTAACTTAAAACGGGACACTCTGTATATAAGATACAAAGATCACTTTTCAAATAAAAAAATTATATAATTATATTTTCCTGCTTTGCCGTTATAGTCACTTTTATATTATATGTTTTTACTTACTTGTGTCATTAAAAGTTCACCTAAGCGCAATAAACGCACATATGCAATAAAACGGAAGTGCACGCTATTATAATTTCACTCAACTGCATAACTGATAATTGGCCTTTTTGCTTAATAACCTGAATAGTCACCAATACAAGTTATACACAACTTGAAACTTTTTGTTCTCTGAAACTCATCATGTTACACACAAAAAGTATTGTATGCGAAGAAAATTGACAAGAAAATTATTAAATAGTGACGTGAATCAGCAAATGCATCTTAAAATATGTTCATATATCAACATTTGTAATTATCTAGGACTGCTTGAATTATTTTTAACTTACATTGACGATGAGAAAACCATGTAGGCAAAATATTATACAAAAATAAAGCATCAGGTTAAGTAGCATTAAATTGAAACAATCATCGATAACTTCGATAGATCTGAAACAGCAACTTCTTTTCAGAGAAAGATGTAATTTTATATGGTGCTTAGATACTCCATTGTTCGAACAGTTTCTATTTTGAAAAACTTTCTTGACAATTTAGCTTGAGTACCTGATCAAACGAATGTTATCTCGGACGTTATATTTCAAAATTTCATCGTAGTTGGAATACTTCTTCATATGTGAAAACCGTAAATGTAAATTTTCCAATTGACCGCATACGTGAAAAACTAATAGACCGAACAAGTTGTCGATTGCAGTGGAAGAAATAGCAGCTATGAACGTTGCGAATGTTTGCGCTAGTAGCGTCAACTCAAATTGCGGACTTTTGGTTACATCGTATAGATAGTATGTTGATATTGGCAAACGTTTTCCAGAGTCCGTTAAATTAGTAAAATATCTCTTTGTTATTTTGAGCCACGGTAAACCAAATATAAAGATTAATCCAAAAAATATCATGGACAATGCGCACATAGCGATCGCTCGAGAAATCCTAGCGTGCCTTAACATCACTTTTTGCTCCTCTTTAATCTTTACTTTCATCCAATCTTTTTCAATCATATCAATAAGAGGTGCTAAAACTATAAGGATTAATGAGTTAAAATGAGTTGAGATGCTATTTTGCTATGCGGACACTTTTGCGCGTTTATAAATTCAATGAAAGATAAATTACAAATGTTGCTGTGTGATAAGAAAATACTCTGCTAAACATGGTGTACCTTCTTGTTTGTACCAAATAATGCCCACTTTCAAAACCGCTATCGTCAGAGGTAGACTATATTGCATATTATCTATCATTAGTATCATGTCACCCCATACTTTAATCAATGACATTAAACTCGGTATCGTGATTACGAAAAGTAACGTGATGAAACTGCACAGCCGTCGAAGTTTTAGTTTTACAATTTGTCGCGAGTCCCGGTTGTCTGGCGGCCACAAACCGATTATTTTTAACATGAACCAATTTAAACTGATCGCCTTTTGGAAATCTATCATTAAGAATTTAAGTTTTATTTCATATTAAAAACTACATAATGATTTTATATAATTTCACATAAGCTATTTATTTAGTATAAAAACAAATATATCAACGAATAAGTAAAAGACGGTCTACACGTGCGTACTTGACCGTATCGACTTTCTAAACAATGTTGAAAATCTAAATAATGAAATAATAAAATTTTGTTTAACCATTAATATATCCACGGAATTTGCGATATCATGTTATTAATTGTCATGTTATTGTGCGAAACAAACGGCTATTATATTCTTTCATGACTATAAACAGTTTTCTTCAGCGACACATTTTGATCAATATTATTCGAGAAATCTCCATGACACATTCAGATACTTATGTGAAGAAAATTACGAAATATATTGATAATCATGTTTATATTTTTAAGTAGAAAGATGACAGATTTGAATAGAAAACATATATAAAAGAGCATACTCTTATATTCACTTGAACAATCCATGCTAGGAGTCGAAAGATACTTGCACTGTCTTGCACTGTCTTGCACTGTCAAGGGAAAATCGTCCTTACTTTTGCGATATATAACGACTGATTATTATTACTCTTAAAACTATATTCTCGAAAGGCTAAAGTTTGTATGCATGTGTTCGCACAATTGTAAATATTGCAGCAACCAGAACAACAGAACAGAACATCGATAAACACACGGGTTGATATTATCGTTTCGTTGATGCCTTTGGTAACGAAAATGTGAGTGAATAAATTGTTATCCTGAGAACGCGTACAATGTGTACTGTCCATCGTCAAAATAACCCATCGCTTTTGTTATCTCTTGTTTTTCCCTCTATGTCACCGCATATTTGTAATTGCAGGGTCGTGAGCATGCACGCAAAGAATTTTTCATGTGTCGATGGGAGACGGGCTAAAGGCTGCTAAAAACTTCATTCGAGTTGAAAAGACGGTAGTTCGTTCATAGTTTGTACCTCGCTGAAAAGTTTGATCACTGGAAAAAGGAGTTAGGTTGAACACTTTGATGCTGCATTATTGATTAGCCTTACAGTCGAGAACAGTCGAAACACAGTAGTGTAAGAAATACGATATGAACGACAGTGCTAGTGGCTATTTGGTGCTAATGTGTCTTTGACTTGAATAGTGCGTGTAAAATCGACGTGAACTAGAAACGGAAAGCGAGATACTTTCCAGCATAATGACGATATTACAATGATTTCTTCTGTCAGCTTACGAGGTAAAGTTTGAAACTTAGTTGAAAAGGGAATTACGTGAGATTGAGTGTCATTTCGTTCTTGTGTACCACTTGTGTATTTTGAGAAAAACGTTCCATCACGTTCTTTATTTTATCGAGTTGTAAAAGAGTTGTAAAAGAATTTTTAGAAGATCGAAATGTTCATAAATTATGCTTCAGTTATCTTTTATTCAACGTATTCAATAGTATCGAAGTTGATGGCTACTTTTTTGAGCATTTAATGAAATAAATAAAAATAAATTAAATATTACCTTTATTTTTAATGATTTAAACTTTGTTTTCCAGAAATTTATCTCCAATAACCTTGAGTGTGTTATCATTAAATTTGTCATTAGTAGGACTACAAAGGAAGATGATAGAAAATTAGAAACCTATTAAAAAATATTAAGTTGATCTTCATTTCACCTTGATACTTCACCCTAAGATCAAACCAATAGCATCACGATATGTCTCCTTTGAAACACTGCAACATTTGTCTGAAACGTTTCTTGTCATTTTGCGTTACTTTTCATATATTTAAACTTCCCGATTTAAATATCTTGCCTTATATATATATATATATATATATATATATATATATATATATATAATTTAATTAAATTTATATTTAATTAAATATATATATATATATACAATATCCTATTTTAAGTTAATCACCGAAATATCTCGAAAACAATACATTTTCGAAAAAAATGGCTCAAATAAATGTTGTAGAGTTTGAAAGGGCTTATAAACTACTTAGATTTTTGGTCTGGGACCTTCTTTGCATCAAATAAGATCCAGATAGATTTTCAAGTTGATAGAAATATATATTTTTTATTACAGATTCGGATTCTATGGAAACAAATAAGAAAATTTTATTGTTAGTAACTTTTTGTTAAATTTTCTCCAACAGACGCAAAATAACGTTCAAGCTTATTTTGAAATACATTCTGTGTCTGTAATTCCTGTAGCATTCACCAAGAGTAAGCAAAATATCTTTACCATTTAGTGTATAATTCTTCAAGAATAATTTAATCCGGATTCGATAATACAAAACTATTAAGGTGATTATGTGATCTTTTTGATTTTCTTTTGACGCTAAAAATGAGTGTCAAGCGTCAGTATGAAAAAGCACCTTTATTGTTCAAATGATTATTAAAACATTGGTGTTATGACAGATTACCCAGAGAAAATGATGCTCAACGCTGCTTTTCAGCACCCCATGAATTGGCACCAACAGTTTAGTATTGTTAAATCCAGGTTAAATTATTCTTGCAAAATGACGAATTATGATATATGGGCCAATGTAGACCGAGCGTTTGCCTTTATTTGAAGAGTGGGGTAAGGGACACATAGAAAAAGATGCATTATGTTTTGGAACCCTGCTTTCTCTCTCATTCGCGCATATGTATGAGCGTATGTGTGAGAGAGGTATAATTAAAATTGACGTGCACAATGGTGAAGTGCAACATTTGTTGGAAAATACATTTGGTCAATTATTCGATTAATTCGGTGCAGAAGACATGTGGTTTTCAGTTCCAGTTTCTCGTTCTTTCATTCTTCTTTACTAATTTCTCTCACATATACACTCATATATATACTCTCGTACACATGCGCAAATGAGACAGAACGCAGGATCTCAAAACACAGTGCATCTTTTTCTACGTGAAGCTCTACCTCCCACTCCTCAACTCTCGGTCTACATATATTACGGTCTACATATATATCTATGATCGTAACATCGCAGTGCAGAAGGTAATTTGAAATAATTTTGAGCGCTATTTTGCGCCTGTTGGAGAGAGTTTAGCGAAAAGTTACCAAGAACAAAATTTCCTTACCCTTTTCATAGAATTCGAATCTGTAATAAAAAATAGGTGTTTTCAATGGAAAAATCATTCGCGGCATTATTAAACCCAAAGAAGACTCCGGACCCAAAATCTAATTTAGTTCATCTAATAATCCCTTCCAAACCTTACAACTTTTATTTGAAACATTTTTTTGAAAATGCATTATTTTCGAGATATTTCCATGTGTAACTTAAAACGGGACACACTGTATATAATATACGAAGATCACTTTTCAAATAAAAAAATTATATGATTATATTTTCCTGCTTTGCCGTTATAGTCACTTTTATATTATATGTTTTTACTTACTTGTGTCATTAAAAGTTCACCAACAGCGCAATAAAGGCACATATGCAATAAAACGAAAACGCACGCTATTATAAACCAACTCAACTGCATAACTGATAATTGGCCTTTTTGCTTAATAACCTGAATAGTCACCAATACAAGTTATACACAACTTGAAACTTTTTGTTCTCTGAAACTCATCATGTTACACACAAAAAGTATTATATGCGAAGAAAATTGACAAGAAAATTATTAAATAGTGACGTGAATTGGCAAATACATCTTAAAATATGTTCATATATCAACATTTGTAATTATCTAGGACTGCTTGAATCACAGGATCTATAATTAAGTGATTGCGCGCATAATTATTTTTAACTTACATTGACGATGAGAAAACCTTGTAGGCAAAATATTATACAAAAATAAAGCACCAGGTTGAGTAGCATTAAATTGAAACAATCATCGATAACTTCGATAGATCTGAAACAGCAACTGCTTTTCAGAGAAAGATGTAATTTTATATCGTGCTTAGATACGCGATTGTTCGAACAGTTTCTATTTTGAAAAATTTTCTTGACAATTTAGCTTGAGTACCTGATCAAACGAATGTGATCTCGGACGTTATATTTCAAAATATCATCGTAGTTGGAATACTTCTTCATATGCGAAAATCGCAAATGTAAATTTTCCAATTGACCGCATACGTGAAAAACTAATAGACCGAACAAGTTGTCGATTGCAGTGGAAGAAATAGCAGCTATGAACGTTGCGAATGTTTGCGCTAGTAGCGTCAACTCAAATTGCGGACTTTTGGTTACATCGTATAGATAGTATGTTGATATTGGCAAACGTTTTCCAGAGTCCGTTAAATTAGTAAAATATCTCTTTGTTATTTTGAGCCACGGTAAACCAAATATAAAGATTAATCCAAAAAATATCATGGACAATGCGCACATAGCGATCGCTCGAGAAATCCTAGCGTGCCTTAACATCACTTTTTGCTCCTCTTTAATCTTTACTTTCATCCAATCTTTTTCAATCATATCAATAAGAGGTGCTAAAACTATAAGGATTAATGAGTTAAAATGAGTTGAGATGCTATTTTGCTATACGGACACTTTTGCGCGTTTATAAATTCAATGAAAGATAAATAATAAATGTTGCTATGTGATAAGAAAATACTCTGCTAAACATGGTGTACCTTCTTGTTTGTACCAAATAATGCACACTTTCAAAACCGCTATCGTCAGAGGTAGACTATATTGCATATTATCTATCATTAGTATCATGTCACCCCATACTTTAATCAATGACATTAAACTCGGTATCGTGATTACGAAAAGTAACGTGATGAAACTGCACAGCCGTCGAAGTTTTAGTTTTACAATTTGTCGCGAGTCCCGGTTGTCTGGCGGCCACAAACCGATTATTTTTAACATGAACCAATTTAAACTGATCGCCTTTTGGAAATCTATCATTAAGAATTTAAGTTTTATTTCATATTAAAAACTACATAATAATTTTACATAATTTTACATAAGCTATTTATTTAGTATAAAAACAAATATATCAACGAATAAGTAAAAGACGGTCTACACGTGCGTACTTGACCGTATCGACTTTCTAAAAAATGTTGAAATAATGAAATAATGAAATTTTGTTTAACTATTAATATGTCCACGGATTTTGCGATGTCATGTTATTAATTGTCATGTTATTGTGCGAAACAAATGGCTATTATATTTTTTCATGACTATAAACAGTTTCCTTCAGCGACACATTTTGATCAATATTATTCGAGAAATCTCCATGACACATTCTGACAGATACTTATGTGAAGAAAATTACGAAATATATTGATAATCATGTTGATATTTTTAAGTAGAAAGATGACAGATTTGAATAGAAAACATCTATAAAAGAGCATACTCTTATATTCACTTGAACAATCCATGCTAGGAGTCGAAAGATACTTGCACTGTCTTGCACTGTCTTGCACTGTCAAGGGAAAATCGTCCTTACTTTTGCGATATATAACGACTGATTATTATTACTCTTAAAACTATATTCTCGAAAGGCTAAAGTTTGTATGCATGTGTTCGCACAATTGTAAATATTGCAGCAACCAGAACAGCAGAACAGAACATCGATAAACACACGCGTTTATATTATCGTTTCGTTGATGCCTTTGGTAACGAAAAAGGTGAGTGAATAAATTGTTATCCTGAGAACGCGTACAATGTGTACTGTCGATCGTCAAAATGACCCATCGCTTTTGTTATCTCGTGTTTTTCCCTCTGTATCACCGCACATTTGTAATTGCAGGGTCGTGAGCATGCACGCAAAGAATTTTTCATGTGTCGATGGCAGACGGGCTAAAGGCTGCTAAAAACTTCATTCGAGTTGAAAAGACGGTAGTTCGTTCATAGTTTGTACCTCGCTGAAAAGTTTGATCACTGGAAAAAGGAGTTAGGTTGAACACTTTGATGCTGCATTATTGATTAGCCTTACAGTCGAGAACAGTCGAAACACAGTAGTGTAAGAAATACGATATGAACGACAGTGCTAGTGGCTATTTGGTGCTAATGTGTCTTTGACTTGAATAGTGCGTGTAAAATCGACGTGAACTAGAAACGGAAAGCGAGATATTTTCCAGCATAATGACGATATTACAATGATTTCTTCTGTCAGCTTACGAGGTAAAGTTTGAAACTTAGTTGAAAACGGAATTACGTGAGATTGAGTGTCATTTCGTTCTTGTGTATCACTTGTGTATTTTGAGAAAAACGTTCCATCACGTTCTTTATTTATCGAGCTGTAAAAGAATTATTGGAAGATCGAAATATTCATAAATTATGCTTCAGTTATCTTTTATTCAACGTATTCAATAGTATCGAAGTTGATGGCTACTTTTTTGAGCATTTAATGAAATAAATAAAAATAAATTAAATATTACCTTTATTTTTAATGATTTAAACTTTGTTTTCCAGAAATTTATCTCCAATAACCTTGAGTGTGTTATCATTAAATTTGTCATTAGTAGGACTACAAAGGAAGATGATAGAAAATTAGAAACCTATTAAAAAATATTAAGTTGATCTTCATTTCACCTTGATACTTCACCCTAAGATCAAACCAATAGCATCACGATATGTCTCCTTTGAAACACTGCAACATTTGTCTGAAACGTTTCTTGTCATTTTGCGTTACTTTTCATATATTTAAACTTCCCGATTTAAATATCTTGCCTTATATATATATATATATATATATATATATATATATAATTTAATTAAATTTATATTTAATTAAATATATATATATATATACAATATCCTATTTTAAGTTAATCACCGAAATATCTCGAAAACAATACATTTTCGAAAAAAATGGCTCAAATAAATGTTGTAGAGTTTGAAAGGGCTTATAAACTACTTAGATTTTTGGTCCGGGACCGTTTTTGCATCAAATAAGATCCAGATAGATTTTCAGTTTGATAGAAATACATATTTTTTATTACAGATTCGGATTCTATGGAAACAAATAATAAAATTTTATTCTTAGTAACTTTTTGTTAAATTTTCTCCAACAGACGCAAAATAACATTCAAGCTTATTTTGAAATACATTCTGTGTCTGTAATTCCTGTAGCATTCACCAAGAGTAAGCAAAATGTCTACCATTTAGTGTATAATTCTTTAAGAATAATTTAATCCGGATTCGATGATAAACTATTAAGGTGGTTATGTGATCTTTTTGATCTTCTTTTGACGCTAAAAATGAGTGTCGTGCGTCAGTATGAAAAAGCACCTTTATTGTTCAAATGATAAAACATTGGTGTTATGACAGATTACCCAGAGAAAATGATGCTCAACGCTGCTTTTCAGCACCCCATGAATTGGCACCAACAGTTTAGTATTGTTAAATCCAGGTTAAATTATTCTTGCAAAATGACGAATTATACACTACATGATGTAGTAAACATTTTGCTTATTTTTGGTAAATGTCGCAGGAATTACGGACATGCTTCCATCATCTTGTCTTCATTGACCGGAATGTATTTCAAAATAACTTGGACCGCTATTTTGCGTCTGTTGGAGAAAGTTTTACGAAAAGTTGCCAAGAATAAAATTTCCTTATTTTTTCCCATAAAATTCGAATCTGTAATAAAAAAAATAGGTGTTTTCACTGAAAAAATCAACCTGTGTCTTATTAAGCCCAAAAGACATATTCGGATCTAAGCAGTTCATCTGATAAACTCCTTCAAATTCTATAACTTTTATTTGAAGCATTTTTTTCGAAAATGTATTGTTTTTGAGATATTTCGGTGTGTTAAATTGGGATACTCTTTATATAGCTTACGTAGAGCATTTTACAAATAATAAAATTATATAATTCTCTCTCCCTACTGTGCCGTTAAAGCCACTATTATATATTTTCACTTACTTGTATCATTAAAATTTCACCAACAGCGCAATAAAGACACATATGCAACAAAATGATAATACACGCTATAATAAACCAACTCAACTGCATAACTGATATTTGGCCTTTTTGATTAATAACCTGAATAATCACCAATACAAGTTATATAACCTTAAAACTCTTTGTTCTGGAATTCAACGAGGTAAAAGAAACAGGAGAGAATGTATCGGTAATGAGGATTTTACCATTGACGAATGTACATGTTACGTTCTGTAGACTACACGTAATGAATCATTTATATGAATAATACGGTATCAGTAGTAAATTGAATGTTTCAGCTGATCTAACCCGGTCGAACTTTTCAAACAGATAAAATACCCAGCTCTATGTACACAAAAATTATGAGCCTCGCACGTTATTCTCATATCATTGTATAATAATAGAATATAGAAGAAATAGTCACGAAACATAACACTTAGTACACCGCAAATAGATAAATACTTATATCAACTTATATCATGAATTGTCACAATTCTATCAAGGCCCTAAATTCCTAAAGACAGATCATCCCACTTGAACATTACCTTCGATTTTATCGAAACGTCGAGAAACTTCTCCCACAGTTCTAGAACTTTTTCCTCGATTCTAAGATTTTCTCACTCCCAATCCAAAGTACTACCGAGCCCTATTTGGTTGTTGCTCGGGTTTTGTAACTCTTTCCTACTACATACAATCGTGAAACAACGATTATTAACTGTAACCGAGCAAAAATTGAACTAATCTGAAGGAGACTTTGCAGACACAAGTCATCAAGAGAACATCCCGATCGAGGGGAAGATATCAAGAACCAACTTGCCAGTTGCAGATTCATTTCACCCACTATTAACTCACGTCTAAAGTAAGTTCTGCATTTGTTTCATTTTACATTCCGTTGCTCTCTTCAGTTATTTCGCTGCAATAATTCCGGTGAGTCTGATACTCGTCTCCTCCCTCGGGATCGGCAATTCTCCCGACTTCCCTGAGCATATCCTGTCTCCTTTGCCCGTGCTAAATCCATCGTTCAGCTCTGCTTCTCCATAACTATCTGTCCCCTCTTAGTCATCGCACTTCAACCCCTCAGCACCATACACGCACACATGCACACTCCTACACACACACACATACATACATATACACACACACACATACACATACACACACACACATACACACAAACACACGCACCCGTATTTGTAAAAATTTGCGACATTACAATCTCATGTGTTATATTAAGAGTCATAATTAATAAATTCACCATCGTCTTGTGATTAATGTAAGTCTAAATTTTGTTTCCCCCACACTCTTTCATCCAATTATTCGCTCTAGGTCCTTGGTAAAGGGATTCGCCTACCTGACCTAAAAAGGACGCACTCATTGCGCGTGTAAAGCGACCCTTCTGGCCGCTGACCCACTTCTCGACCTGCATGTACGGCTGAGGCTTAATATAAGTACTTATATGGTTGTGTTTTCCTCTAGAACGTAACATACCTTATGGCCATCTTAGACGACCACTTTTTTATGTTTATCAGTAAAAAGTAGGGAGAAGAGCTACATATATGGGCTAAATTGTTTTAGGAAGAAGTATTGTGAGATATAAATGCATTATGATACATTACCAGTCTGTGACATAACAACAACAGCTTGAAACTATGGGATAATAGTTCTTCATTGATTAGTATCAATAATAAGAAGTTTATATTTTAGAGATTATGTTCTATCATATATATAGCATTGTAAAATCGTAGATTTACACATAGATATTAAATAATTTTTCACAAACAGATTTCTGATTGACAAAAATTAAAGAAGTGCCTGGATAAACTTTGTTAAACAGTCTAATTAGTGCAGTAAATTTTGAGGCACTTCCAGTGTTTTCATTATGTCGAAAAAATGTCGAAATAACGCTTAGTACAAAACTCTCACTTCTTTTACCTCGCTGCTGCAACTCATTACTTTACAAAAAATATTATGTGAAAAAAATGGACAAGAAAAGTATTCAATAGTGACGTAGTGCGTCTTATAATTTGCTAATATATCGACGTTTCGAATTATCGAGAATTGTTTGAATCACAGGATCTTTAATTACGTAATGGGTTATTATTTCTGACTTACATTAACAATGAGAAATCCTTGTAGGCAAAATATTATACCAAAATAAAGTACCAGGTTAAGTAGCATCAAATTGAAAGAATCATCAATAACTTCGATAGATCTGAAATAGCAACTGCTTTTTAGAGAAAGATGTAATTTTATATCATGCTTAAATACACGCACTTGTGCGATTGTTTGCACAATTTCTATTTGAATAGACTTTCTTGACAACCCAGTTTGAGTACCTGATCAAACGAATGTGATCTTGGATATTATATTTCAAAATTTCATTGAAGTTGGGATACTTCTTCATATATGCTATCCGCAAATGTAAATTTTCTAATTGACCGCATACGTGAAAAATTAATAATCCGAACAAGTTGTCGATCGCAGAGTAAGAGATACCACATATGAACGTTGCGAGTGTTTGCGCCAGTAGCGTTAGCTCGTACTGTGGACTCTTGGTCACATCGTGCAGGTAGTATGTTGGTATTGGTAGGTATTTTCCAAAGTACGTTAAGTTGGTCACGTAACTCCTTGTCATTTCGAGACACGGTAAACCAAACATAATGATTAATGCAAATAATATCATGAACAATCCGCACATAGCGATCGCACGAGAAATTCTGGCGTGCCTTAGCATAACATCTCGCTCCTCTTTAATCTTTATTGTCATCCAATCTCTCTCAATCATATCAATTAAAGGTGCTAAAACTATAAGAAACACTAATGTGTTACTATTTTGCTACGCGGATACTTTTGCGCGTTTTTCAAACTCAATAAAAGATTGCAAGAGTTACTGATAAGGAAACCCTCTGCTAAACACAATGTACCTTCTTGTTTATACCAAATAATGCAGATTTTGAAAACCGCTATCGACAGAGAAATACTATATTGCATATTATCTATCATTAGTATCATATCACCCCATACTCTAATTAATGCAATTAAACTCGGTATCGTAATTACGAGAAGTAACGTGATGCAACTGCATAGTCGTCGAAGCTTCAGTTTTATAATTTGTCGCGAATCTCGATTATCTGGCGGCCACAAACCGACTATTTTTAACATGAGCCGATTTAGACTGATTGCCTTTTGGAAATCTATTATTAAAAACTTAAGTTTTATATCATATTAAAAACTACAATTTCACACATGCTATTTGTTTAATGTAAAAACAAATACATCGACAAATAAGTTACGAACGGATTACACGGATATACTTAATCGTATTCACTCTCCAAAATAAACAATGGTAAATATATAGAAAACTGGTGCTACCCCCAATATGTTTGACCTTGTTATATGTTATCAAGGACATAGCTCTGAAGGTTCAGCTTTAGAAAATTTTAGCCGTCGCTCGTTGTTCGTTAAAAAGTTATTAACAAAACAAATTGCATAAAATGGATGTAACTGTTGGACACCGTCCAATATACAAAAACATCGAATTTGTGGGCTAGAAAGGTATCTGCCACTATTCTGAGTAACATTCAGAAGGTTTCAACTGGCACTCATTGTTTGTTAAAAAGTTATTTACAAAAAAAGATATATTAATATCAACACAGAGTACTACTTAACAGTAGTATATTAAAGCTGCGGGCGTGCGTGCGTGCGAAAAATATTTGTCCAATTTAATAAAGTATTTGTTCACATATTTCATGTACTTTTCCTTGAAAAAAAGCAGGGAATCGTGTGTTACATTGAAAAATTCATATATCAAATGCATGTTGAAAATTTGGAAGCCGTGTGTTACATTCAGTTGTATACGCACGCACGCACGCATGCACGCATACACACACACGCACACACATATACACTCCTCGCCCGCCCGCCCGGTGTGTACATGTATTCCTATTATATTTGGATGATTTAACAATCATTCATATAATTTTGCGACACTGTATAAATTAATGTGTGGCAGAAATATCATTCTTTTTGTAAAACTTCAAATATAATAGGAACACACGTACACACCGCGAGCCCGCCTGGGCCTGCACGCGTGCAGGAGAGCAGTGTATGTATGTGTGTGTGTAGCACCTTTCAATTCAATTCGATGTTTTTGTATATACGGTGTCCAAAAATTACATTTATTTTATGCAACTTCTTTTGTTAATAACTTTTTAACGAACAACGAGCGACGGCTAAAACCTTCAGGTCATTCAGGGGAGTGACCTCTATAACATATGTCAAGGTCAAGCCCATCGTAGGTGGCACCAGTTTTCTGTATATTTACCCAAACAATGTCATGAAATAATAAAATTTGGTTAAACTATTAATATACAAAATTTGCGAATAATTGCCATGTTATTGGGCAAAATAAACTATTATGTACTTTCATGACTACAATCAGTTTTTTTCAGTGATATATTTTGATCAATTTCATTCAAGAAATCCCTATGACACATTTGGATGCTGTGTGAAGGAGATTATAAAACATCTTAATCTCATGTTAGTACTTTTAAATAGAGAAGTAACAAATCTGATTAGAAAACATGCGTAAAGGAGTACCATTATATTCGTTTGAATGATCCATGCTAAATATTAGAAGGATACTGTTTTACACTGTCTTACACTTTCGTGCACTATCGAGGGAAAATCGTCCTCAGTTTTGCGATATACAACGACTTATTATTACGTTACTCTTAAAACAATATGCTCGAAAGGCTAAAGTTCGTTGTATGCATGTGTTCGCACAATTGTAACTATTGCAGTAACCAGAACAACAGCGACGAACACACCGGTTGATATTATCGTTTTGTTGACGCCTTTGGTAACGAAACGGGTAAGTGAATAAATTATTATCGTGAGAACGTGCTCAATGTGTACTCTCTATCGCTAGAACGATCCATCGTTTTTGTTATCTCGTGTTTTTCCCTCTTTGTCACCGTACATTTGTAATCGCAGGATTGTGAGCATGCACGCAAAGAATTTTTTATGTGGCCATACGAGGCGCGTTAAAAGCTGCTACAAACTTCATTCGAATTATGGAAAGACTGCAGTTTGTCCATAGTTTCTATTTCGCTAAAGAGTTTGACTACTGGTAAAAGAAGTTACCATAAGCTGAACACTGATGCTGCATTATTGATGAGCTTTTCGTTGCACGGTCTTTTTCAGAGAACAGTCGATGCGCGACAGTGTAAAAAATAAAATGTGAACGAAAGTGCTGGTGACTGTTTGGCGTTGTATCTGTTTGGAATATGTCTTTGACTTAGACAGTGCGTGTAAGACGGACGTATTTGAACTAAACGGAATTTTGTAAGTGAGACATTTAAGGCAAGGAAGATATTTTTAAGCGTAACGACAGCATTACAATAATTACTTCTGTCAGGTTATGAAGTGAAGTTTGTAACATAGATGAAAATGGAATAAGGTGCCGACTACTTTTCACATTTATATTTTCATTGCGTATACACTTTATACACTTCTACTTTGTGTACATGTACATATTAGATGTACAAATAAGTAATTAAAATTTTTTGATTAAACTCTAGGTTTATTAAAAAAAAAAAGTACAGCATAAAGTACATTCTTTATAGTAAAGTAAATTCTTTAATCAGAGTTTCTGTCTATATCTTAAGCCGTACTTAGCAAGCAAGAAACTCAAAGTCTATTTTTTAATAATTATATTATTCGTAATTTTTACTCGTTTTTAAATAATGTTTACAAATGTTACGTAATATAACATGGCTTTCCAAATATTTTTATAATATTTTTAGAATATTTTTAGAAACATGAGTCGTAATATTTTGTTAATGTTACATAACACAAACCGTTATTTTTAAAAATTCATGCACAAAAGTCAACGTCTTATCACATAAAAATAACTTCAAACAACATTTAGAACCTACTGAATGGTTAAGTAAAAAATGAAAATTATTCTATTTGGAGGTGAAGATTCTAAATCTGTAGTAAAAAATGAGGATTTCTATTTAAAAATTTTTACTTGAGCCTTACTGGACTCAACACGAGCCCAGGAAAATCTAATAAGATCGTCTATTGTTGCTCTTCCAACTTTTATATGAAACATTTTTCTTTAAAATGTATTCAAGAGATATTTGAGGTCGTCATGGAACAGCATGTATACAAGATGTCCCACAAATGGTAGAACACCCGTTAGGGATAGGAAGGAGATGAAATTTGGAGGAACTGAAGGTTCTCCTTCCATTTTTGGATCCGACAATTAGTTTATGAAATATTAACTAATTAAGTTTGTTAATCCCTTAGCGCCCCGAGCGAACCCTCAGGACCGTAGGACGCCGTGGGCTCCTCACCGACCTTGCTCTGTTTTTCACCCCTTTTTTGTATTACAAGGGAATAAATATAAATGAGTGAGTAAGTGAGTGGGCGGGTATCTGACAGGGCTATGGGGGTAACAAGTTTTCAGTGTGTGCAGATAATGTGCGGGTGTTTTTGTATATGTGTGTGTGTGTGTGGGGAGGGGAGGAGAGAGAGAGAGAGAGAGAGAGAGAGAGAGAGAGGAGGGACATGCATCACTTATCATTCTTTCTTGCATACACGGATATAATACGATAGTGGATAATAATATCTCCATTTATTTCACCTTATAAAGTTACAGTCGCCCATACTTTATTATGAAATGTTTGTTAACGTCGAAACGACTGCCTTGAAACGGATAAAAATATAACGTTTTGAGAAAATTTCTAAAAAAATTATAAAAATGTGTAATCGACAATAGGTAATCTGACTTTGCTGACGTCATCCAAGATCAAACTAGTCAGACTAGTAAATAAATCTTTTTAAATCCTAAAATTTTTGTCTAAAACAGTTTTTGCAAAACTTATAATTTCCGAGATATTTCACCGTCCTTGAATATTTTACACGTTCTATATACATATATATAGGTTGAGGAAAAAATACCAGGACTCTGAAATATTAATATTTCGAAAAATATAAGTTTTATAGAAAACTATTTCAAGTAAAAGTTGTAAGGTATGAAAAATATATTTACTGACTTTAGCGATGCTACTCAAGGCAGTAATGCCAGTTTCAGGTCGCTAATAGCACGCTATTGAACGTGGAGGAGATATCGCACACAAGCGACTAGCCGTGTCCCTACACGTTTCACATTATCAACATTTCACCCGGTTACGGTGGTGGAAGAGTTCAGACATACAATCGACATTCTTTTTCTTCTCAAGCTATAGCTACAGCTACAGTTATAGCTACAGTTAATGCTATAGCCGCAAGAATCGTGTTAGGCTTAAGTATTATATCTCGCTGCTCCTATATTCCTTCTCGCGCGCGTAGTCTTACTACTCTTATACATTTACACACACTACATCTTTATACTAAATAAAATATACTCTATATATCAAATATATTAAGTAAATTAAGAAAGGAAGAATAGAAGGAGCATAGTGGTAAATAAATAATAGAAATTCATTTTTGGCTAAAATGTACACCTTTTTATTATAGACTGTGTAAAGTGATTTTTGTATTACTAGTATCATTATTGATTGTGTAAAGTCATCTTCATACTAATAGCACTAAAATTAATTATCATTTTCTCAAAATGTAATTAACAATTAGCAGACTTCAAGATTAGAGGTAACATTGATCACGTTGTCTTCGGTATAAATCAATATAATATTATATTTTAAATAGCGAGGTCAAATATGATTTGTTAAAAATGCATATAATTCATTATATAAAAAAATGGGATCCATTATATAGAGCAATTTCACATTCAAAATTAACAGGATCAAAATGATACAGATGATAAAGGAGTTTAAAATAAATATTTTCAAATAGGGAATCAGTAGTTTGATGTGTCTATTTAAGGCTGCACAAGATCGTAAACTTCCAAGTGAAACTTGTAATAGATGTGAGGAACGTTCTTGTACTGCTACTTTATTTTGTATAACATAACATTCTTATGTTTAAACTCATAGATTTTCTACGCGACGATATAACGCGATCAATATATTGACCACAGACTGATATTGATGATTCGATTCCATTCGATTCCATCTCCATTTTTCGGGATGGGACTGTATTGATGGATTTGGTATATATTATATACCAACAAGTACATACTGGACATTTTTATCCTCCCACAATCATATTAATATTAAAGTTATATTAGTATTTAATAGCACTAAGACATCCGTGCTAGCTCCTTATGTGCCATTAATATTTCACTATTAGTTAACTCTATCAAGGAGCCTTCTATTATTTTAGTATATATTGTACATGTATATTGTAAATTGTATAAATATATTGCGGACGAATAAAACCATACATTTCTTCTTATAATTCTGTATGTTTTACGTGCGGAGTTGCGATCGATTCAATAAATGCGTATGGAGCGTATCTGATTAGACGTACACCATATATAAATATATGGATACATGTTTTCTATATTTATATCTTTTTTTCAGGTTTTTTCTACATTACAATAGCAGACCACATCAGTCATCTGTGGTCAATATATTGATCATATACGCATTGATGATAGTCGTGTTCGCGACTTGAATCCGCATCAAGAACCAATTAAGCAGTCTCCAATCGGTATCGATAAAGCGAACTGTTTTGTCTACACCATTTGATAAACATTTACACGTTCAATAAAGTTATCTTAGCACCTTTGCTTTCATAGTGCTACAGTTGCTTCAAAAGATAAAAACAGTTCCGCATTCATTCTATTAATATAACGATAAAGGAATGGCTTAAAGGTATCCTATTAAGACGTAGAACGCTCGTCAGGAAATTGCCAGTACGTTACTTTTACTCCGTACGACCTACTAGCACGTTGCATTAAATGTTCGTTTTATATTTTTATTTCATATTTTGTCACAAATTTTGTTTGATTTTAAGATACTTGTGTCATTATATGTAGAATAAAATTCTGAATGTATATTGCTATAAACATCTTGATTTAATAAGAAATTTTACATAGGGCATCTTTTCTCGGCAGCGACGATATATTATAATCGTGCTCACAACTCAGATCGACGCCGAGAAAGCCAAAATATCCTCGGACACGCGTAAAAGCACTGAGTCGGAACGAGAAGGAGCGAGAAGGAGCGAAGACAATTCTGGATACAATTCCGAACAGTTATGGATTTGCGATTGTCCATTAATTAAATATCCTAGTACCAACATTTGTACCTCGAAGCGTCAATATAAACCTTCCGGCCTAGACGAGACGCACCTCTCGCTGCATTCAGTCGTGCGCTTAGACATCGTACCGAGTTAAATCCCGCCGGTGTACACAACTATACTATATCGAATATAGAGTAATTGTCATCATAAGTGCCGACGCCTAAGATGTCACAAGCTCTGCGTGCAAAATACGCTTTGAGTATAGAATTGTAAACACATTTGACACGGCATAAATAAAAGCTAAGAAATGGATTAAGAAGGTATCTAACTGTTTACTCAAACTTGTCTACGCTCTCCGACTTCTGGAAATTCTGACATGCGTTATCTTGTAATTCTGTTATCCGTTATTTTTGACGCCATTGAACTAAATACTTTTTAAGGTTATGTTAGGCTCTCTGTCATACTAAA